CTCTACCACTTGAGCCACAGCGCCACTTCTGGCTTTTTTCTTTTTGCTTAAGTGGTGCTGAGGAATTGAACCCAGGGCCTCATGCATGCAAGGCAAGCGGTCTACCACTGAGCCACCTTCCCAGCCCGTAATGTTTCTTTTAATAAATTGTTTTTGATAGTCTATAATGCTTCTTTGCACTATCTCACTGGTTGAAGAATAAACTTAGCACAAGTAATTTCTCTCAGTAAAGTGTGTATGCTCAATTACTAGTAACCCCTTTTCCTGGTTGGCTAATGGTCTACACCGTAGGACAGTGCTGAGATGGTAGCTGTCTATGCCTTAAGCCAATCTTGCTGGACAAATGTACAAATTACAGTCACAGAACTCTACGCTGTGGTCCTATTTCTATAAAATGAAAATCCATGCGTAATATATAGCAGAAATAATAACACTGACTCTTGGAAAAGTGAAATTCCAGATGCTTTTTATTTTATCCATGCTTACTTTTATTTTCTAATTCTTAAATCTCAGCACAAACCAAAAAGAGGGCGAGGGAGGAGAAAGGAACAAGTAATTCTCACAGACTGCAAACGGACACATAGGCACCGTTGGGGGAGGAGGGGGGGAGGCAATAGGGTGATGTCAGCGGTGGCAGGAGAGGAGGAGCATGAGCAGCAGGGCGGCAGTGAGCACACAGAGGACGCACACTGTGGGAACCACGATCTCCGAAAGCAGGTGCAGGTGGCGGCGCAGGGGCTCTGAAATACAACAACCATCGCAGAGACTTCCTCCTGCTGCTCCTAACCGCGCGGGGACAACTGGACAAATGGCGCCAACACGTTTGCCTAACTCAATCACTAGCTATGAAAGGAATCCTGGTAAATTCAACGCCAACCTGAACAGCACGGACTGGGGGCACAGCTCAGAGGTAGAATAAAGGCTTTGGGGTTGATTCCCGGCACCATCACACCAAAACATGTGTAAGTTGCTGAAATGGCTTAGAAAGCATGGAATGCCTACATCTTTCCTTCCACGGTACTGTAGTAAAGCAGATGTGTACCAGTATTTAAGGCGCCTATTAATCGCAGGATATTAGCTGCCAAATTCCATGTACCCCTCATTTCTCTGTGGGCAGGGAGTAGGGTGACAGAATGCTCCTTGGAAAATGGGGTCCCTGATTCAATGCCCACTGTGGGGCTGTCAGCTGGGCTCCTGATTCGCCGACAGCCATGTTCCTGTGCAGTTCCCAGACTCCACAGACATCTGCATGGTGACTGCATTAAGCTGATTTGGGTTCTGCAGCTGGGGAGGTTGGTGCGTGGTCTGTAAAAGGAACTGGAGTGGAAGGATTTGGTGTCGTACTTTGTACTTGGGATACTACATTAAAGATGGTTTTATTGCAGCAGAAAAAGTGTTTTCTCTGACTCCCCACACAGAGAAGAGCCCCACTGAGATGCCGGCACCTCCTCACACAGTCACAGCTTGGTTATTCTGCATCTCTGACCTCCTTAATCCCACTTCATAAGAAGAGATTTATGAAGGTAGGGCCCTGGTTTTGTTCATTCCTATATCCCCAGGTCTTAAAATAACCCTTAGCCGGGCGCTGGTGGCTCACGCCTGTAATCCTAGCTACTCAGGAGGCTGAGATCTGAGGATC